CCCATACATTTACTGTTCAAGGAAAAAATTTGAGGATGGGTCCAGTATGGATAGATGTATCCATTCAAATGGTTAGATATTACAATTGCAATGTAATTCATATATAAAAGTATTCTCTTTGTTTTTTTAATTGAAAATATTTGATTAATTCAATGCAGGTACTTATTCAATCTTAATAAAAAGGTTAAGAATAAGGTGTATATTAAAGCTTTGATATGTGAGGCATATATTATTGAAGAGATCTCAATATTTATCTCATATTATTTCAAACCTCATTTGAGAACAAGAATCAATTGCATTCCACAATATGATGATGATAGTGATATGCCTTCTAGTGAAAACTTGTCAATATTCTCCAATCATGAACAATCCATACTTAAAAATATTATAAGGTAAAGATATTTGCCTGAAATAGAGTTCAGACAAACACACAATTATGTTCTATTTAACTTTGATGAGTTGAGACCTTTTATTTAGTAAGTATATGTACTACTAACTAAACTTTGTTAAAAAATATACTATTTATATATTGTAATATCATAAACTCATACTTTGAAACTACCTTGTAAGTAACATCAATAATATTTACTGTCCAATAACTCACAGCTGACCAAAACCTAAATGTTTCAATTACAAGATGAATAATTTATCACATGTTTCAGAATACATATAAGTATTATTACAAACTCATTATCTCTTGTAAAGTTACTGTATGTCATTACAAAATTCTTGTTTATTGTTCATTGTTGTACATGATATGCAAGGTTTATTAAATGGGAATAAGTACTGCTATTTCATTATCTTCACTAAGCCTGGGCCTTGAAAGAAAAGTTAAGTGCTACAACAGGTATTTTGTCAATGAATATGTGTTTCATACTGAAAAATACAAGCATGGAAGAAAGACATACAATAGCAGTGTTAGTATTAAGAGATCGACCTGTAGTGAGTTTGAAGTTGACTACTATGGTAAATTAAAAGAGGTCGTCGAATTGCAATATCATAGTGAGTAGAATAGAATGTTTTTGTTCAAATGTTATTGGAATGACATCGCCGATAGAGAAATCAGAGTAAATCATCACTATGATCTGGTCAAAATCAACTCAATACTAGACTCTACAATGTAAACAATGTCTTTGTTTTCGCAAAGCAATGGATATAGTTTGTCAGCATTTCATATAGAGTTAGAAAATATTTAATGGAATCTCACCGATGTCAATATTGATAGATACTGTTTGTCGGCATTTCACATAGAGTTGCAAAATATTTATTGGAAATGCCACAATCACTAACGAATCTATAGGCGAATACAGGCCATCCATATTTATTGGCAATTCAAAGTTACCAACCAAATCACTGACGAACGATGCAAATTCTAATGGGTGGGTATTAATGCATCTTTGATTGTTTGCACTAGCCGACGAACAATAAAAAATATAGAGACTAATTAAAAATATTTGGTGTGAAATTCAAAATGTACCTATGGATTTTTGAAACATCACCGATGATGTAATATTATTTAAATGTCCGTCGGTGATTCTGTCAGGAAAATTGACTATAATTCTCATCAACCGCTCCTTTAGTTTATTTTTTCATCTGCTTGGTTTAACAACTCTCATTTTCATTTTTCTTCTCTTATTTGCTTCAATAGGATTGATTGTTGCTTGTAATCTCTAGTTCTATCTTTAGCAAATTAAAAGATATGTATTTCCATCTAATATATTTAATGATTTTATTTTTTATTTTTTTAGTTATTGTTATTTTTGTTGTGTTTTTTTTTGTTTTGGTGTATTTTTATAATGTAGATAAAGACATGAAATAAACACATTATTAAGGTAAATATTTTTCATTCCTAAAGTCTATAGTTTTCTTTTTAATTTGTTGAATATATTTTATTGTTTGTATTGCCATAATAATTGAATACTTTGTTGAATTTCAATTGTTATTGTTTAATTTACCTTATAATTAGTAATTGAATATCTAGGAATAATTTAATTATTTTATCTCAATTTTACTCTATTATTATATGATATGTGTTTAATTATTTCCAATAATTTTATGATAAGGATAATGAAAGATTATATATGATTAATCTATGTGCTATATTATGTGGTTATTGAATTCTAATTGTATGATGTATAAACTTAATTATAGCTTCTTTATAGATATGACTTGAGCAATAGTTTATTGCTAGTATTTTTACTAGATATGCCATTATCATCGACGGAATATATCTGTCAGTATATTTCCAGCGGGAAATTTCTTCTTTTTTTTTTGCACATTTTTTATTTGTAAAACCATCGATAATGTTTTTTTTTGTATATAGAGTTAGCGATGGATGTGGGATTACAACCGAAAGACATGCTGATGAACACTTTCCATTGATGATTTAGTTTGTAAAAATATTTACCGACGAAGTCTAAATCTCATACCAACAGATTTAATCTGTTGATAAAACTATGAAATCTTGTAGTGTTTGTGGTCATTCTTCTGAGTATGTCCATACAGGTGTCCATCTCACGGTAGCTAGGGGGAGGATGTTTAGAATACCGGTTCTAAACATGAGTATCATAATGGCGCAAACAACCCATTAAAAGACTCTCATAATTGTCATTATGTTTAGTCTCCTTTCAGTAATGTAATCGTCTACGGGCGCCTAGTGTGGCTGGTGGACATGGTGCTGAAGCATTGTATATTGCTAAGGGTGTCAAGATATGATGTGGTGGCAAGGTCTTGGGTTGCCAACATGGTTTTAGTAAGGAGTTGCACCTGATTGGTAGAAGTATTTGTGATAACATGTACATTTGTCATATGTCTTGACCTAGTGTGTCTTGGTTATTGACACGATCAAAGAGTTGATGTCTTATCCCAAGTGTAGGAGTGTCAAAGTAAAATAACCCGGCAAGACCGGGGTCGAACCACAGGGAGGTGAATTATATAAATTACAAATAAAGAAAAAGATTTGAAGAGAATAATAACAGAAAAGGAGTTGAAGAATGTTTTGGGATGTGATATTGATGTAAGGATTAAACAATAACAAAATATATGTCAAGGTTATAGGATTCACTAATGGTATTTCAAATAAATATAATATAAACTCTTTTTATTACTCAACTAGAAACCACACACAAAGGAAGTTCTAATCGGATGATTTCTCGTTATTAGCTCATTATAAATTACTAACATGATCATATTAATTATCTTATATAAGTAATACCATACTTATAAATATCATCAAGCATTCATGTTGCTAGTTTATGTTAACAACAAATCAAGTTTCTATCATAATAACGATTTCGGCCGAAAACTATGAAAGATCAAGCATTTGATGTACCAAATATTATACAACACAAATCTAAATTAAACATTTAATAAGCAAGGTATTAAGAATTAGTAAGATAAAAAGATAAAACATGTTAATAACAATCTTTCTTGGATATAAACATTTAAAGCTCATGTTGAGTTTATATTATACCTATTCTAACACCATTAGAGAAACCTTTTCACCTTGACATAATTAACTTAGCTAAACATTAAGAAGGAGAAAAACATAAATAAGCAATATAAGAACATAAACATAATATAAGTTAACTAAGTATAAGAAAGGAAATGAAAGAGCATAAACAAGAGATTATTATAGCATGAAAGAAAACTTGAACATTACAAAGATGTAGAGAGAAAGCAAGAAGATAACTTTGATCTGAAAATTAATATGACTAAATACATGGACAATGCCTCCTTTTATAGGCTAAGTTTCAGAACTATTGATTGATTGAAGAATTGGTGGGCATCCATTGATTTGGTGGCTGGTTTTTGACATTAATGGCTGCTGTTTTTTTGATATTGTGGGCTGATTTTTTATATTGTTGGCTGGCCAAAACGTCATAGCTCACATCAGAATTATAGCCAACTGAATTATGGAAGCTGTGGGCAATTGTCTCAGCTTTCCATAAAAAAAAAAAAATCAGAGCTCATTTGGACTTCTAGAACTCAAGATATGAGCCAAAAACCAAATAGTGTTTGAGCTGCAGGACAGCTTCCGACGTCTTCGTTGTTGCTAAGATTTGGGCTTGAAAACGACAGAACTGAGTCTTTGACTTCATATGAAAGTTGTAGGTCTATGTCTTACCTTTTCATCGATATAAAATGGACCTAAATCTGATATCTACAACTCCAGATATGATCAAATTACTGAACGGTGTTCGAGTTTGGAATGCACCAGCAACACTTTGCTAAGTTTGGCCTTCTTTTTATCCTTTCAATTTCAATCCTTAAACTCATCAATCAATTATTTTATTTATGTGATAGACCTGCATTTAGGATGAACATTTACCATGAATTAAAGGTATATTATATTTTTAGACTTGCTAATATAAAACATGCTTTTGTTAGGGAATTTAATGATACTTTAGGTGCAATATGATGACATAAATCCTTAATGAGAATGCACTTTTAAGTACTAATCAGTTATGTTCCATGGAGTTGTCTGGAAATATCAAAAACAAGTTATAGAAACTTAGGGTTTTTTTATCAGTTTCCTATAGACGATGTTAATTAATGAGTCTTAAAATCCAAGATACTTAAAAATAAGGCTAATGTATTGGATAATTGGCTAATATCTTAGTTCCAGCAATCTGATTCATTCTCTATAGTTAAGGTATCTAGTGACTTAATATAAAACGCCTAGAGGGTTGGCAACTGTAGAAGATGATGTCTGGTAAGCCAGGTAACTAGTAGCTAGTCGCTATAAAAGATCCCATTTGATGAACATGAGGACTCTCCGATAGTAAAGTCAATAATTTTATAAAGTGAAAAGGTAAAATAATATTCTAAAGAGAGATGCTTAGAAAATATATATGTAGTAGAGAATGAAAAGATTGAGAACTTTTGACTTGAAGGACTCATAGTGTATTTATAACCCATGAATCTTGTATTATTATTTTTTTGAGAGGAGGAGCTAGAGTGTAATTTTATATTTATAATATTTTAAGTAAAATGGCTTGATGATACAAGAGGGAAGTTCTGTAAAAGCAACAGGAAAAATTGCTCAAATACCAGTGAGTGAGGCGTATTTAGGTCGTGTTATAAATGTCCTAGCTAAACTCATTGACGATCAAAATGCAATTTTATCTTCTGAATCTCAATTAATTGAATCTCTCGCTCTAGGGATTATTTTGAGGCGTTCTATATACGAGTCTTTTCAAATAGGACTTATTGTTATTGACTCAATGATCCCTATAGGATGTGATCAGTGAGAATTAATTATTGGGGACAGGCAAACTGATAAAATAGCACAGTATAAAATATTGAGGAACCTGCATAGGATTCTCAAAAAATCACTGGCGAATGTTGGGCTTGGACCCATTAAAGATGAAAAATGAATCATGGCGTGCTATTTAGACTTAAGCTTTTTAGACTGGTGATGCACTCTCAATCTCAAGCACGTTGGGCTTGGGGCGCATTTTTTATCCTGAACATGTAGGGCTCGGACATAGAAGTTCAAACACATTGAGCTTAAGTGTAGAAGCTTGAGCTCACAGCAGTAGCCCAAGCCTATACTCCTTAGGTGTTAGGCTCGGGTTATCATGGTAGAACCCAAGTTAAAAAAAAGAAGAAAATTTATTTTGAGGGGTTTTTGTTCTCAGTCAACATGATCCAAAAGGGCGAGATGTAGAAGTTTTTCACGGGCATCTGTACTCTCTGGAAATGTGGGTCCCACCTCTAAGGGAAGTGTGGGAGCGGAGCTGGCTGACGGCCTTGAAATCAAAGAAGGGGATTATAAGCTGGTGAAGACTCCTTTCAGTGCATTCTTCGCTACTCTTCTCCTTTCATTGCTTCGTACCGAGGGAATTAAGAGTTTAGTAATTTCCGGTAAATGCAAATTTCGGGACTCATGAACCATCTTACTAGTGTATTTTAACGATGATTATTGAGGACATGAGATTCGAGTGATTTCTGCATCATAACAGTTCGTGATCCCTTAAAATTGTTCATGGAGGGGTTCGAACTCCGAATTGCATTAGACAGACTGTCTTTGATGCAATAGCTGTGGACTACCAGCCTGTCATTGTCATCTTTTTTATGCCACTGCTGCTGCTACACCTGACATACATGTTGGTATGAATTCATTGATAGCTTGAATACTAACTTATATTCATTTTTTATGCTCTCTAATGAATGTTTTCAAGAATTTACTACTATGTTGTTAAATGATTGGAACAACCTTGATAGGATAAAAAAAAAAAGAAGGACAAAAGAAGAAAAGAAAGGGAAAAGGCAAACTTAAAATCAATAAAGCACAATAAGTTGGCTCTCCATTCTTTTTGAAACTGTGGATTTGAGAATAAATATTGATTTCCTGAAGCTCGGTGGGGTCTCATATAGAGTTCAATATCTTCTGCATTAGGAACTGTACCTTGTAAGCTCGTCGAACATGCTGTTTGCCTTATCAGATTTATTGTCCAAAACTAAGAAATCATTTTGTAAGGCAATAGGTATCCTGGAGACTTTTATTCTGGTTCTTGGAGTTTGGTACTATGTTAGGGTATGTATAGTCAAAAAATTATTGTATCAGGCTTCTTTTTCCTCAACAAAGAAAATGGATAGCTGAGAAAATGTAGGACTGTAGATGATTGTTATCAGAGAGCAAGGATTGTAGAATTTGGTGATTTAGGGACTTAGAAAAGGAAGACAGATCAGATATGTACATGAAATAAGAGGTAAAGATGATAGAAAATCACTAGCCTCATGATATGAGTTTCAAGGAACTACTCTCAGAATAAACACGCCATATTTTCATGAAACATAAACCGAAATTGTTCATTAGTTCACTGAGAATTGGAAAAAAATTGTCTCTGATGGCCCCTTGTATAAATCTTAAGCTGGTTTATATCACCCTGGTATTTTAAGATCAAGGATGACAAGGGATTTTTTATTCATTTCACATCGCGTACTCCTTTGAGATGTTAAAAGGAATTGGAAGTAAATATGTATCAGTGAAGCTCCGTCGTGGTGGCTTTACCCTGAAATTTGATGTACTCGGATTTGCGATGCACTAGGGAGAGTTCAAGTCCATAAATATATTTGTTAGCAGTATTAGGGAGTTTAAATGATATAGGACAAAGGATTTCATATCTGGCTCAAAATATATTCAAATGATGTGCCACTTAATGTACAATCATCGATCACTATGCCGCAACTTTTTGTTGAGGCTTCCCTATGATGATATTCACAGCATCACTGATCTCTCATATCTCAGCTATAAACTAGATGAAAACTTGCTATCTCCTTGTCTTGCGTGGCTCTCAATAATCCTGCAATTGAGAAAGGTGGATCGATCACTCTACAACATTTTACTATCTATGCTCTCCGGTGAAAGACAATTGACATGAGAAAACGTTCATCATCAATTCTTTGTTTTTATGATGTCGACATTCTTTTCTTTACCCTTTTTTTTCTCTGTGCTGACTTAGATCCCCATTTTTTTATTTTTTTCTGAACCAGCCAATACATGAAAAATATACGAGATGGGACCCTAACATTGCAGGAATGGTGTGTTTATGATGCCACGCGTCACCTATAAAAGTGATAACATTGACCATTTATGAGTCGACAGTGACTCAGTTTTCGTTGACTATTTCTAAGTTAATAGGGACTATGTATGCTGATGAATCCATGCATCACCGGTGGAAGTAATTTCGTTAATGATTTCTGAGAATGTAATGACTCACTTTTCATTGACTATTTCTTAGTCAATAAGAGTTGTGTGCGCTAATGTATCCATGCATCACCTGTGGAAGCAGTATCATTGAGTATTTCAGCGTTGCCAGCAACTCAATTTTTGTTGATCATTTCTAAGTCAACAAGGGTTGTGTACGATAACAAATCCACACGTTACCTGTGGAAGTGGTATTGTTGATGATTTCTGAGTTGGCAATGACTCAATTTTCATTAATTATTTTTGAGTCAACAGGAGTTGTGAGTGCTGATGTATCCACACGTCATATGTAAAAATGGTATCGTTGACTATGAGGATGAGTCAACAGCATTTCATCCTCATACGGATGATTTGAAAGGACCATTCAAACTCTCAAGGATCTATTGAGGTCCTGTGTGCTGGAGTTCAGAGGGAATTGAAAGGATCTTCTTTTATTAGTGGAGTTTATTTATAATAATAATCATCAAACTATTATTGGTATGACTCCATATAATATTATATGAGAGAAAATGTGAAAGGATCTTCTTTTATTAGTGGAGTTTATTTATAATAATAATCATCAAACTATTATTGGTATGACTCCATATAATATTATATGAGAGAAAATGTGAAAGGATCTTCTTTTATTAGTGGAGTTTATTTATAATAATAATCATCAAACTATTATTGGTATGACTCCATATAATATTATATGAGAGAAAATGTGGTACCCCAATTCATTGGGAGGAAGTAGAAAAAAGAAGCTTTTAAGACTTCAAATGGTGCAATGAAAACTGATGCACTCACGTCAAGACTAAATGAGGAGCTGCCCTTGCTGGTTGTTCTTGCATTGTAATCTACCTTGTGCATTCAGAATAATTGTGCTTGAAAGGAGCTATTTGCGTGTTGTCAGTGTAATGCAATCTAGTGCAAAAGAGAAAAAAAAAGTAGCGAAATATCCACTCTTAAATTTGCGTTCTCCCTATCATTGAGCTGTCAATGAATGGAATGGCAGGCTAATGCCTATCTGTGCTTGCAATAGTTAGCATCTTGCAACCGAACCATTAACTTCTGCTATGCTAAAGCTTCTATGTTCTGCATGGTGTTTACAACATTATCCTGATACATTTACCTGACAGTGCATGATATTAAACGTAAAAAGATTCTTAGAAAAAGCTCATTCATGGACGAAATTCTTCATTTCATTTTACTTTGGTTTTTGAGAACTATGATAGTGGAAACGCATAATAGTGCCATAATAAGCACACACAAACACTAGAAAAATCTTTTTTCTCTCTTCCCACGTTGATAAAATGTATTTCGTATTGTATTGATTGACTTGTAGAGCAATACAAGCTCAATTTCAGACCCATATTTATCTATTATATTTCTGGAGGTCAAAAGTACTGTCCAACTTGGCCCCTACCATTCCATAAAAGACATGGTTTGAAAAATTGAGATATTGAAGTTCCCAAAGGAGTACTTTTCTTGTCAGGTCTGACAGATTTTAAAGGATTATAACTCTTTTTTGCATGCTAGCTGTTATCTGTCGGTTTCTGTTGCCAAAGATTTCCGCAAGAAAATGATTATATATGTTTCCAGAGCATGGATGGATGGATTTGCGAATTCGGTTGCCAGGTCTCTAAGGTTTTCTTAATTCTCTGAATGATGCTCGAACTCTTTCATTGAATTATGCTGTTCATAAACAACGATAAAGCTACGAGCATAGATGAATTAACGATCAGATTACAGAGACAGACCACCGGGATTAATAGCTTATAAAGCTATTCTCTTAGCTTTCATATTGTTGAAAATTAAGAAATATAAGGAGATTATTGAAATTAACAATCACTCTACATAAAAAAAAAAAATTAACAATCAGCTAAACCCTAACAAAAAAAAAACAGAGAATAAATCAGCTTGTAGTAATAACAAAGGTCTGCCAGATTTGTTGCTACTCAATTATTACTAGCGAAGCTATAATTGTAGTAGGTTATGAAGGCTTACCAGATTATTTAGAAACATTATGTTAAAAGTTACATTTAACTAATCTCTATATTAATGTGGATTCAATTTTTCCATTAGAACTTTAGTTTAGTCTAATAAATTAACTCTCATATTAATATTTTCTAATTTAATGGCGTTGGAGGTATATCAATAAAACTTAATTCAATGAGACTCGTGTTATATAAATACAAGCTTTTAGTCTCTAAGCTTATACACTGAAATATAAGCTTTTTACCTTCTATATATATATATGCCATTAAATTTGAGTGTATGAGCTTGGAAGTATTAAAATATTTAAAAATAAAAATAAAAATTCATTAGTGTTTTTTATTATTGACATTTTTTATTTATTTATTTTTCCACATTAGATCTAAATGCAAATTATTTTAGAAATGTGTTTAAATTTATCAAATCTAATAGTTAATATTAGAGCCTATTATAATACATTTTCCTTGATTTCTATATTGATATATCTATCGAAGAATTTTTATGCTCAAATAAATTAATTAATCTGCTTACTTATATTTGTCATAAAAAAATTAATGGTCAATTTTTTTTATTCCACCATGTTTTATTTGTCATGAAAATTTTAGAAATAACCTTAGTTTCCAATTAACTTGAGTTTATTTAATGATTAAAAGTTTAGTTTATGGTGGAGTGAGTTTCAATAATTTTCATGAATATAATGCCTAATAGTGAAGGAAATAATTGTCATTAATATGCCTAGTAGTGTAGGAAAAAATTGAAAACTACTGGTGTAAAAAAAAAACCATTTTGAGGTTCTTATTTTATGGGTTGTTTTAATACTTTGTATGATTATAAATTATTAGAAAAACTAATTTCTAATCATTCAATGTTTGGGCTATCCATTTTATTCTTAATTCTCGTGGCTGTCACTTTGATTTTTTTATGTGGTTTATTTCAATGGCTTTATTTTTGTTTTCTTTGGTGCTTCTTTTATAAATTAGGAAAAAGGAAAAATAAATTAGGATGTAATTTTATGTTATATAAAATTATGCCTTAACTTAATGTTTAGTAATCTGTAGAATTTTATTAGGGATTAGCCACAACATCTTTAATTAAATAAAATTATATATTATGCTATGTTAGAATCACATAAATAATTATAAATATTAATTATAATTAATTATGCTCAATATAATAAATATTATCCCACATGAATTTGTCATTATATTTACATAATTGATTAGAATAAAATATCAAATTATTTTAGAATATACCTACAAGAATTATAAATTAAATACATAATTTGATAGTTTTATTGTAAGGTTTAGGATAGAATATTAAATTATTCTCATAATATATACCCACATAATCATGAATTAAACACATAATTCGATAATTTTATCATATGATATATTTGAATCTGTTTTGATTAAGAATTTACCCCACATGTAACTTTTATGTTGTTAGATT